AGAGCTGCAAAAAGTATGAATTCCGGCGGTGAAACAGGAACTTGTCTTAAACGCCCGACATACATACATTGTCCAAAAATATTCTCAAACTCAGGGTTCGTCTTATACGCGGATTGCCTAATAATATGCAAGAATAAACGGTACCAAATATTTTTGATAGTACTTTATACTTAACACCAGTTTCGAGAAAAAAAATGAATAAACAAAGGATAACTTCCTTATTATCATATGACAGATCATGAGTTGGTTCCCATTGTTTTAGATTTTACACCACAAAATCAAACATTTATGTATGAATTCATTTTGTTTTCAGCCGCCAAGTTCTGGTTGTGTTCCAGAGAATGTTGGATTACCGGTAATAAACGAGCCCCCAATACCGGCACAGAAAGATAACATCCCAACAATTTTGAAAGGACTACCTCAAAGGTAACAGAAAACTGTTTTTGTATGTTCATCATCTTCTTTTATCCTTTGCTATCTTGATGCTCACGCCATTCTTCATTCACGTTTTCACCTACCTACTTACATTCATCACAAAACATATAGTGCTATTTCAAGAGGATCAAATCTCTCAAAGCTACAGTGGCTCAAACAGTAACTCTCTGCTCCCCTATGTGTCTCTTCATGGTAAACCAGTACCAGCTGTAGGGACTAGTATAATGGGGTAAACCCCCTCGTCTTGAAAGATGTACTCGGTTCTTTAAAGTGCACATGAGCAAATTGTCTACACTGGGTCTGTGGTTTAAAGTCCTTATCCAAGAAGACTTGTTCTACCACCAGAAACAGGCAAGCGTGCCTTTAGAACCAGCACTGATTTCATCGGTTGTAGGTTTTGGCAAACCTGCCTTAACTGCTTGCCCATTCCACTCGCCATTCGCAAATCCAACAATTATTTCTATTTTCCCATCTGTAGGTGGGAGCTTACTGTACATTAAGTATTTTCAATCTTTTCTATTTTCAACCCTTATCATTTTATTATGTCAAAAGATACACGATATTTACAAAGCGAAAAGAAAAAAAAGAAAAGAGCTGGAAAATATAGATACTGCCTGCAGAGACAAAAGAACCCTAAATCAATGTACCATATTGTCATACATTTTACAACTCAGATTAATTTTCAATCCTTTTTGTTATTTCTGAAACCTGGTATTCAGTACTGGACCATAGTATATTCTTAATAGTATTTTCTTTGAACCGGTTATACAATCTGCTCATCATTAATTCAAATTTTTTGACCTTATCTCCCATGCATTTCATTATCTTCCTGTTATTAATCCTGCTTGTGTTTTTATGTTTTTTCTTGTTTAAATTCTTCTTTCAGTTTCCAATTTTCATTCCAACTTCCTTAATGTATACTTTTCATGTCCATAATATGTCTCTTCATTTCTTTATTCATCATATCCATTCTAATTTTTTGCCTAATGTTCAACTGCATATTAATGACAAATTTATTCAATTTTTTTCTCTTTATGAGAAAATGCAAGATCCTAGTTGGATTCATTCTTACTTCTGTTTTTACATTCTTAATTTTCTTGTTTTTTTCATCATCTTCTCTTTCCAGTTTAACCCAATGTATAGTTCTATGATAAATCTATCAACATATAATTACTTATTTTAATGTTATAGTACATACAGTATTTACCCAACATTTTCTTAATGTTATTCAACAAAATAAACTTGGCATGCATTTCAAATGACAGATGACTTTGATTAAAGATATAGAGCAATACATGGCTAAAGACACATGCATGCTTTGTCTGATCAGATATGTCTGAAACAAATTAAGTCCTGTCCAGACTATCAAATTTTATTTGACAAAACATGTGGATTTCTGGTATATATCTTCCATAATTTAATAACATGTATTTATAGCACTTTACACAACTCATGGCGCTTTTCCACATAATTACCCCAATCATTGCAACGATGCCCTGGGTAAATTCCATTGTTTGGTGCATGAAATATAGGCCTATCATTTTGCACTCAAACAAACCCCTTGTTAGGTAACTACTGTAGCCCAAGCATTTTGCACGGTGAGTGAGGGTTTTGAGCTCTGACCATAAGGTTGTGAGTCCGAGCAATAACTTTTCATCATTTCTACTTTTAATTTTTACCTCCGTAGTTAATGAGTAAGGTTGTTTATTGTACTTGTAGATATTAAATTCAAATTAATTAGAATAACTAGCTTGTTTATACATAGTTGCACTTGGGCATCAGAGAACATTGTCCATTAAAATGAACATCAATTGGCATCATAGCCAATTAGCATCTTAAAATGGAAGTATTAGTGACAATGAAAACCTAAAATTTTTTTATTCCTTTTATTTTATAATATGTCATTTCAGTATAAATAAGGAACAAATATTTGTCTTTATAAACTTAGTTTTTTTAAATTTAGATTTTTGTCTATGTATTAATATTTATAGTAAGGTAAGATTTTTGTCTGTATTAATATTTAAGGTAACTTACTACCTGTAAATATTTGAATATTAGTTATTAATTTACTTTCTCTCATTCAATTTAAGCTAATATACGGTATACCAATATTATTGCTTAATTCGCTAGAGCTCAATCCTTTAAAAATGCTCTATTTGCAGGGATCGTGTTGTATTTACCTGTAAGGGATCATCTAAAAAATGCCATTTAACATTTATAAACCTTCCTTCTCTATTATACCGTAATACGTCACTAACGGCATGTCACCACCATGTTACACCCCTTCGTTAATGAGCAGCACCGCCAGCAGTCGATATGTCTAAGTTGAAACAGTTCTAATAACAACTGCTTAGCTTTCCAACTTAATTTTTACAATTTCATTCCTATTTTTGCCTTGTAAACTTATAGTATTGAAAGTTAATTCATAGATTATTTTCATGTTTTTTAAAGTAACTTATTCTTGTGCTATGTATGTGAAAGCTTGTGATAATAAAAGCTTAAGTAGTCTCAGAGTGCTACTTTTTGCTTTCCTACTGTTTTATGTATTAGACTAGTACGTACAGCTCATATTGATTCAGAAATTAATATTAAACAGGTTCTGATACTTTATTTTAAAAAACTACTGTGACTACCAGTGGAGGTGCTCAGCCGTAAACAGGGGCGGATCCATTTGGGATTCACACTGCCCGACCCCCTCCACTTGGTTACCCTTAGTTACTCAGTAACGAAGTGGAGTTGTATGGTGCTGTGGTAGTACTCAATAATGAGATCCTACAAATTGGCTTCTCAGCGTTGTACATTAATTACCGGTAGTCAGCCTTTAGCCTGGTGACCTTAAGAATACAAGACATTACTTGGAAATATTTTTAAACAGTAGCTATCATTCATTTTCACAATAATTGGATGTTATTACCTACATGATACTTGTTATTTTGCACTAATGGTACTGTAATATTTAATCATAATCTTTATGATCATCACATTAGTCTATATCTCTATAAGCATATTTTCATCATTAATATCATCAATCAATGAATAATTGTTAATCTCATCATCTTTATCATGATATAATAATAATAATAATAATAATAATAATAATAATAATAATACTAATAGTAGTGGTAATGGTAGTGGCTGTATAAGCCAGCAGCAGCCACAACCGCAGACAAAAATCTCAATTTGTTTGACAACAAAAACAACAAGCAGTAAACAATAACTTATAATAATATTACTATGATGAATTATGATGATAATATTAATAATATACAGTAGAAATGTTCTGATTCCTGTAATGATTTATACAGTCGTCTCAAAGCACTCACAGTGTTATTAACCCTGGTAATTACCCCAATTCATAGTTTGGCAGTCCAGCATGAACTAGCCTTCTCCACTCCTAGAGGAGTATTGTTAGTGAATGCAGCCAGAAACATTCAATGGCACATTCCTATTTTCTCATCCTCATTTAATATTTCATTTTGTTATACACACATGCAGTATGTTTTTTTTTCATGGTGCCATCCGTTTCACAATTACGGTAATATAAAGCAGGATTCCTTTGATAACAGCAAGTATGCCATAAATTGCTGGCATGTAGATATTTGATGCAATCTTTGATCATACATTTAGTTCACTGGATACTCTAGTTTACGGTACCTGGATGTTTGTTTGTCCACATATAGCCTCTTCTCAAACTTGCCGATAATGATGATTTCCATTACAAATATAATTTTTTTTTCTACATAACAATTAGCTACACTTGTCCATATTATAGACTTGCTATTGCTTTACTAACCTTTGGTTAAACAAATCATGGTATTCAATCATATATTCAGAATAATAATTAGCTACACTTAGTCCAGATTTTAGAGTTACTATAGTTGGTCAAACTTATTGTCAAACAAATCAATCTATCTCTTTAATATTCAGCATGATAATTACCTATATACTTTGGTTCTATTATCAAGGATTTCAGTTCAAGAAGATTACCAGTTTCTTTATTAAGGAAATATGAAAAGATTACTCTTCGTTTGAACAAAGCCGAATTGGATTTTAATTTTTTACATAAATATAATTTTATTATTTACTATATTCAATTGATTATCAGCAAGTTTATGAGCATTCAAACAGTATTAATTTTAATCTGTTACTCCAAAGAGGAAATAGATAGTGGTCCAGCTTATGGTTATTTAGACTTGCCACAATTCTCTAATTTATAGATTTTTTCTCCAAGTATTAGTAATATGGAAGGCCATTGGTGCCAAAATAGATATATTTTTAAAACTGTAGTTTTAGTTTAAAGGTCATTGTGCAAATTTAAGAATCAAATGACTTATTTAAATTGTAGGTAACATTTACTGTATTTTATCCATTGGTAATTTTGTTTTAGTTTTTTACTCACATTAATTCAGGTCCGCTTGAAGTTTCAAGGGGATTAGCAGAGGGTATCATATTGACCTTTTTAAAAAGTCTTTCGCTTTCGATGAAACTATGTTGTAATCTTTGCTGTGAGAAGATACAATAATAATTTTATGTATTTTTTTTTCTTTTGCAGATGGCAGAACTGGGTTATTCGTGGGTTTTTTTCTCTGCTCCTTATTCTAGGCTATGTATTGATCATCTGGATGGGGCCAGTAGCTCTCACATGTCTGGTAAGCTTTGTCTGTTAATGTGTTAATGTTAGTCTATGAAAACTGGTTCTATAACCACGGCTGTATGCAAGAGGGGTGCCACCCCAAAATTGGGAAGGGTCCACATTTTTAAGACAGTTGAAAATGTACTTGAATACTGTTATTTTCTATGATAATGATAAAAAAATGAACCTTTACAGTTTTAACCAATAATATTGTATAATGCCAATATTAGGCCATTGAGTTCGCCATAGTAATGAATAATAGTTCATTATCATGAGAAGATAAAGATATTGTTGCTAAAATCTCAATTTTGTGAATAGAAGTTTTAAAAAAATTGTGTTTCAAATACCATCTAAATCAATCATTTCCACATCTGAAATGGCTACAGTTTCAGGGGGAAGGGGGAGATAATTAGCTTATGGTCCAGATTATTAATAGTGTAATAGTGTAGTATAATTTTACGTGACGCTGTATCCATCAAATACGATGCTTATGGCGCTTGATATGTGAGCTAGGAAATTGATCAATTTCTTCCCTCGCCACCAAAGGCCCCTTCTGGTCTATGCTACCCAGTTAACCGGTACCAGCAACTCTTATCGTCGACCACTGTGGCTGTCTGTACTAGTACATCAGGATAACCCCTACTTGTCTCGAATGATGTACAGGGTTCCTTATAGTACACAAAAGCCATTGTATACACTGGGCCTATGGTTTATAAATCTTAACCGAGAAGACTTAATCTACCACCAGAACCATAGGAAAGCTTGCTGTTCGAACCAGCGCCGATATTATGGCTGTAGGTTGCAACGCCATGCTTTCTTCTCGGCCATTCATCATCTGGGATCTAAAACTTAATAGAGTGGTCTCCTGGTACACCGTCCAATCCTCCATAGTGGTACTGTACAGGTACCCTGTAGGCCTAGCCCAAATCTTTAGGTACTTATAAATCCACTATAGGACCACAGACCTATTATTAAGCAATAGTTTACCCCTGTGTACTGGTCCATTCAGCCCCTGTGGTAGATGAGAGTACTGATACAAGTTTACCCTGTACCTGTAGCTCAGACACGAAGAGACCTGAAGAGACCCTTAGGCAAGTAACTGTAAGAGCTAGTCTATACCTCAAGCATTTAGAGGCCTCTTCTGTATAATGCGCTATATAAATCTAACTACTGTACATTATATTACATTCTGTTAATTTTGTTTTTTGTTTGCAGGTGCTACTGATTGAGACTATGTGTTTTCATGAGATAATCAGCATTGGTTACGCTGTGTACCGGTCCAAGGACCTGCCCTGGTTTCGCTCACTCAGTTGGTATTTTCTTCTTTGTGCCAATTACTTCGTGTATGGGCAGAGTTTAAAGGACTACTTTGGCATTGTTTTGCACAGAGACTTTGTAAGTATATGGAGAACTGTATACGGTATGACATTAGGCAGTTTTCGATTGCACGACGACGGTTTGACGTAGAACGTAATGACGTCGCATAAAAGTCACCTGTGCATGTGAGAACATTGAGTTCTTGCGATCGCTTGGATTCTAGGATTCAATTTGGCCAAATCTATCTTATGCACAGAACATAGGACGGTCACGCATGAGTGAATCCGTTCTATCGTCGCGTCATCATACAAATCAGAAGCTCCCAACTGTCAGGCTACAATTACTGCAATGCTCATAATTCGCATTAAATGACGTATTTCATATGAATATTTAATCAATGTGAAAATATAGATACAGTGTTGTTAAGTTATGTTAGAAAGATATATCGGTTGAATAGGCTTGCAAACTGTATGTAAATTATATTCTGTAATTGATGTTTGTAATTGTAAAAAATGTAAAAACAATTAGAAATTTCAAATTTTATATTTAACTTTGTATTTTTTCTTTTGATTTTTAACAGGAAATGCTTCAGTTTCTTATAGATTATTATCGAATCATCTCCTTCATGTTGTATATATTTGGTATGTATTTATTCTGCTTTTTTATCCTCATTTTGTTCCAAGATTTTACTAATATAGTAATCCCTTATTTGCTTATTTTGCACCTTCACCCCCACTTAATCCCTGCCCCTGGACACAGTTATTATCATTATAATTGTATAATTTTTATTATTATTGTAATTACTTAATTTCATGGATTGCCTACTATAAATTCTGTTTTTCTTTTCCAGGTTTTATCTTCTTTGTCCTGTCTCTTGTTAAGAACCATTATCTTGTGCAATTCACTCTCGTAAGTATAAACTATAAATAAATTTTTACAAACTTTGTCATAGTAACATTAACGTTCCCTTAGATGTTACTTAGATTAAAAAAGGAAAAAATAAAGAGGAAAAGGAAAAAAATAAAACTTTTTTTATATAAGTGACGTTAACATAATTTTGTATGATACCATAGTTTGGCTGGACTCACATCGGACTACTTATCGTCGTCTCGCAGTCGAACCTTCTCACACAGACCATCTTCGAAGGTCTCATCTGGTTCATCATCTCAACGTTATCTGTCATCTGCAATGACATCATGGCGTACATGTTTGGTAAATCAGTAGTTTTTTTTCATTTAATTTTCAAAAATAGGCCTACTTGTTTCGGGATAAACCAACGAGTCCAATTTTGCTCCCTGCGAGGTTTATGCAACGGGACACCGTCTGCTAATTGTTGATGGCAGTCTGAACGAGTTGTCAATAAAAATGGTCCGTTGCGCCTACGTCGCTGCATTGCATCCTCTATGGAGTCGTGCCAGCCAACAACCATAGGGCGTGCAGTGATTGCCAAGCTTAAGGCTCTCCACCTGCCAGTATAAATGGGAGCCTGGTATAAAGTAGTTGATTTGGTAAAAAATTTGCTAGTTTTAAGTTAGCTGCCCAAATAGGAGTACTGTATTTCCCCAGGCTGCAGGGGATATTGGACCTTGTGTATGATTGATTCACAGTTTGGAAAAGCAATACAGAATGTAGTAAAAATGAACATCAATAATATGTCTGTTTCATTGCTAACCGATCATCAGAGTATGCGGTATTCCTAAAAACCATTCATGTGTAGCACTATTTGCAACATCCTTAAAACAACATGTTTCATTTCTATATTCTTACGGTACTTTTTTTTCACCATTTAAGGATTCTTTTTTGGTCGCACTTCGTTGATCAAACTTTCACCGAAAAAGACGTGGGAAGGCTTCATTGGTGCTCTCTTCTCAACTCTTGTGTTTGCCTTCTTTGTAAGTACTCATTTTGTAGAGATAATAATGTTGCCATTGCAACAGTTATACTATTATTGTAGGGGTAATGTAGTCAGAGTGCATGGTATTATATCAGTATTTGTATTGATTCAGTGCCCATAGTAATAATGTGAAATGCAAGGAGGAATTTTGTACTATTTTAAAAATTATCCATGTGTGTCTGTTTTGGTGATGGGATACTGTACCTACAAGATTTGTTTATTATAGTGATTGTATTCTGTTTCTGTAATAATTAGTATTGTGTTGTTTTTTTGATATTGTGTTGGTGATTAGTATCAGTGATAGAATGATGTGAGAATAATTACTATTGGTATAATGAGTACAGTAATTAGTACACATTCTATACCACTATTAGTTATATTACTGTGGTAAACTTTTGCTATAGTAATGGGTGATTTGTTGCTGCAGTAATGGTAAACTCTATGATTTTAATACAGCAATAGTTCATTTTATTGATACTGATACTGATACTGATATATTTTATTGTCTATCATTAAAACCAAAATGGATTTGAAACAGAACATGAATAACTACATTAATAATTATACATCAATACAAAAGAATTATACTGTAATTAATTGTAAATAAAAAGTAAACCTACAGGTATGTAAAGCATAATTGTGTTTTAAATTAATAAGCGGAAAGAATTAACAATATATCTACAAATATTAATGATTTATTGTAATTACATCAAAAATGGAAAAGGAAATATGATGCCATATCATATATTGATGCTATATACTTATTTTTTTAAATAACTACCGTAAGTATTAATAGTACTATTAATACATTATTATCACTTTATTTTAGCTGGCAGCCATTCTGGCACCTCATCCATATCTAACTTGCCCTGCTACGGTAAGTACTAATCTTAAATGAATTTGCTATTAAAAACATAAAACTTTGTATAAAAGAGGCTACACTGTTGTATAAAACAGCTAACATGAATATTCATGAATGAATACATTTAAGGTCATGCATAAAATGTTGAATTTTCTGTTAACAGTTTAATGCAGAGAGCCACAGCTTTGTGATGAAGTGTACACCCAGCTCAACTTTTGTCCTTAAGGAGTATCACTTGCCAACAATACTCAAGGATGCCTTTGCTATTGTAAGTAATTTTAATTCATTTATTCTTATTAGTTATGAAAGTCACTGAAGTCGAAGTCAGATAGATTGTTTGCCTTTATGTTATTATGTGATCTAGTTCTCGAGACAGTAATGTAGAGCCCTGCTACACCATGGTTGGTGGACAGTCAGCGAAGAAATCATCCACGCTTTGTGTAAGCACTTGTCCAACATGACTTCATTAGCTCACTTGTTGAATTGGATTCGATTTATTCGTTGTAAACACCAAGGATAGCCCACAAAAGAAATACAAGTTACAATAGCACACCGTCTTTCGGATGAGATGTTTAAGCCATTGGTCCTGTGTGCATTATGGTCCATGTGCACATTAAAGAACACAGTACACTCTTCGGAAAAGAGTAGGGAATTTTCTCCCGGTGTACTGCCCAATCACCACTAGAAGGACCCCACTGGAAATAAGTCTTCTTTCTAACTGGTTTAGTTCTGTGGTGATTTGTCAGGCCTGTGAGTGTGGCTAGGACGTAAAAGTTGTATCTGTAAGCCAATCAGAATTCAGTTATTCAAAGTGGTGGCACTTTAATAATGATTGACGTAATTAAATAATGCACATGCTCATAGATATTCATTAAAATGTCTGGATACTAGCATTTTGATAGATTTATTTATAAGTCTAGAAGAAGACTTATTTCCAGTGGGGTCCTTCTAGTGGTGATTGGGCAGTACACCGGGAGAAAATCCCCTACTCTTTTCCGAAGAGTATACTGTGTTCTTTAACGTGCACACCGACCATAATGCACACAGGACCAATGGCTTAAATGTCTCATCCGAAAGACGGTGCGCTATTGTAACTTGTATTTCAGCCCTCTAGCTGAAACACAAGGAGAGGCGTGATGGCAATTGAACCGTGGACCTAAAAATCTTCACGGTTCAGCACACACACAGTGGCTACCACCAGATTAGCCGACTGAGCTAACCATCTCTCGTTAATAATGTACCTTTCCGTTAAGCCACGCCCCTTGGATATTGTTGCTAAGATCCCACAAAAACATACGCAAACACATGCTTTTGTTGGAAAATGGAGTGTGCTCCCATCATTAGTTGCCATTGGTATTCTTTACACTGAAATTGTCAATGTTCAATGTAGAATGACATCAGTTTTATATTTTCGTTTTTGTAGCTTGGATTCAAGTTGAGTACGGTAACTTTGTATCCAGCCCAGCTTCATGCCGTTGTGATCGCAGCTTTTGCGTCATTGGTGGGTCCATTCGGTGGATTCTTTGCAAGTGGATTTAAGAGAGCTTTCAAAATAAAGGTAAGCTATTCCAACCTGACAAAGCTAGCGAAAGCTTTGTCAGTAGAAGGTGCTATTGGTTTTATTTTATTTGTACTCTAACTTTCAGTGTTAAGCTATGCTGTGTAGAGCAACTGGAATCTTCCTTTTCTTAAAATAATTTTTTTTCCATACAGTTGAACTTGCCTATTGTCGAATCCAAAATGCCATTGAAAAATTGTTCGACTTAGATGAAATTTGACTTACGGATTGTTAAATAATGGAAAACACAACAATTTGGCATTTAAAATAAGTTAGACTTAGAAATTATTCGAGCGGGAAACACAGCGGGAAACGGTTTGGTTTCCCAACCTCTACGTCGGTATACCAGGAGTATAAGTGGGTACCTGGTAGGGTTAAACGCCAAAATGCGCTGATGTAGCTACTGCAACGTTATGGAATAATCCCCCAGGGAGGTTGAGTTTGTGTTCCATAGGCATTTAATCCAATGACTGGGGTAATGATAATGTGAAGTGCATAAGGGGCTTAACAATATGTACTATATAATTCTACCATTATTTATGGTGGTTGTATTTTGAATGTTTATTCCTGTAGGATTTTGGTGATGTTATTCCTGGACACGGAGGAATCATGGACCGATTTGATTGTCAATTTATCATGGCATCATTCCTGTATGTGTACATCTTCACCTTCCTCAAGTAAGTTAATAATTTACTTCAGTTTTCATCACAGATTATACTGCTTTTATCATACCTCCTAGAAAATAGTCTAGTCCAAAAGAAAGTGATTATCAATTCATAATGACATGGCTCTACATCTAACAAATGCATTAATTGTTCAGCATTATGAATGCAAAATAGTCAAATTATTCATTAAGATACAGATAAATAAAAAAGAGCTGGTAGCACTTTTTGACTAATAGTATGTAATAATTTACCCCCAATCGCTGGAACGGATTCAGTTTTTTTCAAAGTGGGGGCACAACATTTTTTTAGATAAGTAACTAGTGATTATTTAAATACATAACATTGACATACATGTGCCCCACCCCTGTGCCCCCATGCATCCTACTGGATCCGCCCCTGAATCGATAGGGCTTCATTACATCTCATGAAGCCCCATCCTTTGGGGCAGAAGTTTGTGAATTAAGATAGTTCAAAAAGTGCTACCAACTCAATTTTTTTACCCTTCTAAAAAGTAGTCTAGTCCATTTTCACTGTTTCTTGGTATTTCATTGTATAACAATAGGCAAGCGTGCCGTTCGAACAAGCCTCAATATTATGGCTGTACGTTATGACATCCCTGCCTTAACCATTCGGCCATCCACCTAACAACCTAACAGAAAACCCTACCACAAAAGTGGACCTGTCCAAAATAACAGGTTTTCTATTGCTTTTTAACACAATTTCTAATTTTATTTCACCAGAACTGCCAACCCTCAAAAACTGATTCAACAGCTATTCCAGCTTCCTGTGGACGACCAGATGACCGTCTATAACAGCTTGCAGGAACACCTGATGAAGAGTGGTGCTCTTACACCATAGGGGGCGACATAACCAGCAAAGTCTGACACCATCTTGACAATTTCTCAACATAGTGTTTTCCTAGGAAGGTTAGCTGGAAGAGTAGACTCGATAAGGAACTTGAGCCTTGTTGCTATGTGTATCCTATTATTGGATATCATGTTTGATTTTTCTGAAGCTGTGGATGTATTGATATTTTTTTTATTCTTGCTTCTACCAAATCAAAGTGCAATTAAGGGTTTTGTTTCTCTTCACTTTAACAGCATAACCTGTATGTAAGTCTTGTCACATGTCATCCATTTCCCAGGGTGTCTACATATATTTTTGAATATTGCTACTTATATTGTATAAAGCACAGGTCATGATATTGGTTTACAATGCTTTGATCACATGGCCATTCCACACTGTGTATCAGTCTTGGCATTTTTAAGTATCATAGTGTAAATTCTATCTTAACAAATGTAATTAGAATTTAAAAATACTAACAGATCACTGAAGTATATGTTTAAATGAGGCTGATGTTTCTAACTGCTTTAGTTCTATGGTGATTTGTCAGGCCTGTGAGTGTGGCTATGGCGTAAAGTTGTATCTGTAAGCCAATCAGAAGTCAGTTATTCAGAGGGGTGGAACTTTAATTATGATTGAAATAATTAAATAATGCACATGCTCATAGATATTCATTAAAATGTCAAGAATACAGTGTCTTTTTTAGATGAAGTGCACTGCAGTCAATAATAAATAGGAAGTATAATTTATAAATCGTGTGATAGCTATGAAATATTTAAATTGGTAAATTAGTAACACCCTCTCCAACCACCCATTAAGCCAGCCACACACAAGCCAATTCATCTAACAGCCTTAATCCACATTTACACTAGACACGATAATGACACGACAACAACATATCATCGCGTAGTTTATATTCTTCAACACTGAGCGCATTTTTATCGTGTTGTTGTCGTGTCATTGTCGTGTCTATTGTAAATGTAGCTCAAACCTGCTCAACTAATTCAGTTTGTGTGCACATATATTTCTGAAGCTAAATTCACACAGGTTAACTCTGCACAAAGATACCTTTCTCAGCTGTTTGCACTTAAAAATCAGTGTGTATTAAGTTCACACAAGCAAGATTTTGCTGAACTGTTGTATGTAATGTTAGCCTATGTTAGCTACACCCAGATATTAAGTTGATTTATGTTTGGTGTATATTAATGGCACGTGAGCAGATTTTGCTGAGCTGTTAGTTTGTAAAGTGTGTTTTAATTGCTAACATGGATTCAGTTGAGCTGTTTACCCATAGTGTATTAACGGCACATGAGCAGATTTTGCTGAGCTGTTAGTTTGTAAAGTGTATATTAATTGCACATATGGATTCAATTGCTGTTTGCACGTAAAGGGGGGAAGATAAGCCATGACTCGCAGCTTCATTGTGCTGGTGTTGGGTGTTGTCCGTGACTACTAGTAGTGTACACTGGACCTCTATTTTAAGTCCTTATCCGAAATGATTTGCTTCTAGAAACCAAATCATGGGTCTGGAGCAACTTAAACCAGCACCGTTGTTAAATGCTCTAGTTAGTGGCGCCCCGCCTTACCGCTCGGCCAATCGATTTGAATGTGTGGTGTGTATTAATTATTGCACGTGAGCGGATTCTGTTTATCTGTTTGCGTGTAAAGTTGGGTGTGTTAACGGCGCATAAGCAGATTGTCCTCAGCTGTTTGCGTGTAAAGTTGCGTGTGTTAACGGCACATAAGCAGATTGTCCTCAGCTGTTTGCGTGTAAAGTTGGGTGTGTTAACAGCACATTAGCAGATTGTCCTCAGCTTTTTGCGTGTAAAGTTGGGTGTGTTCAACGGCACATAAGCAGATTATCCTCAGCTGTTTGCGTGTAAAGTTGGGTATGTATTAACTATACACAACCAGATTCTACTCAACTGTTTATTGTTTATGTTGGTCCTGATATGAAGTCGCTAATATGTGACAGCCTTTAGAATTGTATAAAAATAATATTTTGTGAAAATCAGATTGTCTCAGAATTTGAACCTTGCAATTACCACTTAATTGTTCTTGCGGTCACATTTTATATGATATAGGTAGTTTTCATTGGTCAAATTATATCCAATCAGGAAACTGCATTTTGATATTAAGTAGGAGGCAAGGAAAGGATTCATTGGTCAGGATACTAGCATTTTGACAGATTTATTTACCAACAATTTCAGAGTGAGAATTATGAAGTCCAAGAAATAATGTGCAATGCTTTGTCACAAGATTTAACATGTACCATGGTTTCTCTTGTATAAGCCCACCCCCGAACACAAACTTGGGCTGATTTTGTGGCGTGGGCTTATACCCAGGGATCCCCTTTTCAATCAAATGTCAAATTTTCAGCACTGCCTTCCTAAATCACAGCCAATACTTGATTTTTTTTTAACCAAGGAACTATCTCAAAGCCCAGATTTCAACCCTACATTTATATTTTCAGTTTAGTAATTGCCATTATGTATGAAAGTATAAATTTCTATCTTTTAACCACAATGAACCAGAAATTGGTTCTGTATTTGGAATTATGGTTATATAAAATTTGCTATCAGGTTTATGTCTGAACTAATGCATACTTGCAAGTACTGCATAGTACTAATGTATTTTAATTGTATAAATTGTATATGTTAAAGTTATTCACTGATGTAATGTTGTAGATGAATCCATATATTCCTTAACATTACCAAGGCATTATTGTCCTGGTCAGTAATGGTCTGTGGCTGATGATATTTGAGGGTCGGTGATGATCAGCAGTGGTCTAAGTCCAGTGGCAGCCCAGGGCAATTCATTTGCAAAGGCTCGACTAATTTGGATCCATTGTCTGAACAATATGAAAGGGGGAAAACACCTGATGCGATAAAATTATTGTATTGTCATTATGATTTTTGTTATCAATGGAAGGCTTTATTTAATGTGGAAAAATTTGTAAATTGTCACATACTATTTTCTTACTATCCTGACTACACAACTAAGAATGAGCAATTTATGAGGAATGATGTTTTGCCCTACTTGACATGTTATCGTACTGAATGCTCAGTACGTTCCCAAATACTTAACGAAAAAAAAATCTTGCAAGTGATTTGAATAGGAATTGAACTCAGACCTACAAACTATCCTGGCGTCTTAACCACTAGACCACTGGGCTTGTGCTCATGGCTAGTGTTGAATCTGATCCCCAAGTAGCAGTGGGTACTGCTATTCTGATCATGGCGTACCAAGTAGGGCAAAACATTATTCCTATTAAAATCTCCTCACACAAACACCATCAGAATATTCAATTGTATTATTTTCAAAAGTGTACATTTGCCTCATCATTATCCAACATACTTGCCGATTACAGATTGTCAAATAAACTAAATCTCCAGGGGCGGATCCAGGGGGGGATATCCCCCCCCCCCACCGTTTTGCCACTAAATTTTAAAAAATTCAATGCAAATCAATGTCGTGCTAATCACTTATCTGTTCTCAAACTGTTATGTCTCCCTCTCCCGTTTGAAAAAAATATTCTGGATCCACCCCAGATCTCTAGGGATTATGGGATTGGACTTTTTAATTTCTTTATATCTAAAGTAGTCAGCAAACATCCTGATATTTGTAGAATTTGAACCCTTTGGTTTGACAGTGAGCATCTTACTCTGATGATATTACACTTTCCAAGACAAACAGTTTTGGTTTTATTTGACTAATGAATATTAAGTCAAATAAAAAGTAATTTACATAATCCCAACAACTGTGCGTGTTATTAGATGGAGGATGGCTGGTAGCACCACTACCAGTAAAACTAAAATATCGTTATATGTTTTACTCAACACAATCATTGTAATAATGGAAATGTGAACAGGAGTTCCTCATTAGCAAAACGCTCATTTATGTATCGCAATAAATAGTGTGTAATTAAACATAGGAAGAATCTGTATCTTAAGTCTTACTCAAAATCCACCATATTTTCAATCTCATGAATATTCATTAAATGAATGCATAATTCGTAAATTGTAAGCTAATGAATATTAATGTGTTAGTCAATGTATAGCGTGTAGTTCATAAAATTCATTGAACATTTATTTAATGAATATTCATCAGTACATAATTCATAAATTGTCAGCTAATGAATATTCATTAGTCAATGTATAGCATGTTCATAAAATACATTGAACATTCCCTAAATGAATATTCATCAAATGAATGCATATTCATAATTTTTACAATTATTTCTTAAATTATAATGAATATACATTTTGCTAAAAAAGCAAAAGAATACGGTACATTTGTAAAATTTTCCAATTAAAACAAATTTTTTTTTTCTGCACTAATAATTATTCATTAGACAGTAATACAATTGTTCAATGAAATGTTAACTTTTATGTAAATAAAAATTAATCAATTCTTTTTGTAATATGATTATTAGCAATGCATTAAATACTGTATTATTCCAATACATTTTTGTATATAAAGCATACTTTAAAAGTAATATCTCCTTACTTGAAAGCACATTTTTAAAGAATGTAGTTAATACATAACTGTTAATAATTTGGAACAAAATCGTGATCTTCAAGATGTTATTTTGATGACACAAAGAAAAATAAGGAGTGACCAATTAATAAGGATATCAAAAATTAGAATATTTTTACATTTTCCAAGACTGTTCATTAATAGCATTTTCCCACATGATTTATTTATTTAAAGACGAATAAGATGTAAATTTCATTGTAGTTTTTAAGTGAATTAAAATATATTCAGTCTCTGCATCATACTTTAAAACAAACATGACGATATCATGTTTTCCGATGAAATTACAGTAATAGGATTTATAAGTAATAGGATTTATAAGTAATTTTGTTGTAGCCATAGATAATTGTTTCTCATGTCTGTTGTGTTCTACTGCAGCATAAATTTTATTAGTTTGTATTTTGGAAGATACAATAAAGATAGACATCCACAATGTACTGTAATTGTTTTATTTTGTAATCTGTATAAATATTATTCAAGAGTATAAATGAAGTGTGATCAATATAATAACTGCATCTCGGATGGAGGACTGCATCATTCAGCACTAATATTATGATAGTATACAAAAAAATGGTACTATCGCCCTCTATAGTTTTGCATTTTTGCAACTTTTGTTTGTTTTTCAAAAGTCAAAGATAATAAAGCAAATGTAAACAGAAAGGTAATTTTTATACATTCTTTCCATATCAGTGTTTTTACAGTAGGGAGAAGAGGGTAGGGGACAAGCCCTTACACGTCAGACAGTCCACGTCTCTCTTGGCCAATATTACCACCAATCATTGAAGTTGAGGGGTATTCACATTTTTTATTGCAATAACTAGCCTATGCAATAATACTTATTATGCAATTCAAATATGGAAATCTTTTTTTTTTTCAATTTTTAGCTCGTGACCGACATTATACATAGTTTATATAGAACTATGCTTGTTTCCATGTGTGTATTTCTATGCCCGTTGAAAAAATGAAAGACGTTTTAGATCATCAGCTGGAACATGTGGCCATAGAGGAAATAATATTTTCGGTTCAAATATATGCTACTTTCGCGTAAATCAAATTAATGTTTTTTAAAAGCATTTTATATAATTAAATATGGGGCAGAAACCTCAGTTGCTGATACATTGTGTAGAGGAATAGTTCGGTGGTTAAGATGCTTGCCTTCCAACCCAGGAAGGTAGGGGTTTAATTCATGTCAGTGTCAGTTTTGCAGGATTATCTCACGACCAAAGCGACTCCACTCCCTAGGCCTAAAGCCACAATGAGATATGGTATAGCCTGTATAAAGCATCGTGTGTTTGTAATTGAATTGTGAAAGGGATTCTCACTAGTCGGACAGTGATATATTCGCTATATTGGCAATCATCGGCGCACGTGGGTGTGCGCTTAAATAAATAAAAATAAATAACATAGTTAAGTGATACAGAGGTAGAGCGGTGGTGCACGACCAGTTAGGGGATGGCTGATAAGACAAAATTAAGATCCAAGCGTACCGTGATTATCAAAAATATATAAATTAGGCCTGTTTTCGAACTAGCATGTGTGTATCCAAGGGGCGGTCGGAAAGGTCGTACGACCACCCCCCCCCCCCACCAAAAAAAATTCAAACGTCCACATTTTTTCCAGACATTTTTTTTCTAGGGCTTTTTGACAATGACATAAATGAATAGGCATTGATGAGGTACCAGCAATGAGTCCAAAGACCTTGCCAATTGCGTGACGTACGGTAATCTATCTCAATTCCAGCCATTCTGAAACTGAGCCTGCCATTCGCTTCAAGCAAATTGTATTGACATTTTAATCACACCTTGCTGTTATTTCATTGTGAAAAGGTCCAAAAAATTATGATCACGACCCACCCAGAAAAAATCCTGGATACACCCCGGGCCCTGACAAGTTAGTTCGAGCTGAAATTGCGTCGTGGACTACAATTGACTCATGCACACCTTTCTAAAATCGATACCGTAAAACCTCGATAGAAACAGACAGATTAGGATGAATCTCTTGATGAAGCCTCTCGAATTGAAGCCCCCTCTTTAGTTTGCAAACCTAGCCTTCAAAAGAAAAGATGTCCATCTCGAAAAGAAGCCCATTGGCTCTTATCAAGATAGCACGGCCTTTTTTTCTACATACACTGTACATGAATTTCAAAGAACCAAAATAAGTTAAAAACACGCTTGGTCCAGTAGTTATAATAGATGGTTTAATGCCGGTGGCATGAGGGCCAGTTCCGAAATTGTTTCTATCATTTTTTTTTTCGTTGTAAAATTATTCCTTTGTTCAAATTTTATGTTACTACTTCAAATGAGCAAACAAAAATTAATTTTATGAATTTTTGTTTGTTATTTTTGGGACAACACATCTTTCATAATGGTTTGAAGTTCTTCATCTTGTAGTCAAGTGTCTTCATTTAGGTTATCGATGAATGTACGGATGTATGTTTTTCTATTCCCCCTATTCCCATGTTTTGAAGTGTATACAGTTAATGGGTTTAATAAAACAATAATTCATGACGACGACGACGTGGATGTTATGTGTGTTTTGGTAATTCTTATGTGTTTATTATGAAGGACGTTTTATGTACACGTTTGCCGGTGCATACGTTTGAATACAATAACGATTATGAATATATTATAACAATGATGATGTTTATGATATTGATAACTATATTGGTAATAGCATGAAGGAAAGAAAGCATGTATAGGCCTAATAGTGAGTGAGTGAGTGAGTGAGTGATGATGATGATGATGATGATGATGATGTCATGATGATGATGATGATGATGAGGACAGTGGTGATAATAATGATGATTATAATGGTAGTGGTAATAATAATAATGATATTAACACTATAATTATATACAAAATAATATTCACGTAATTGAATTGAAGAGTTAGGTCTTAAGTAGTAAACAATAACTAGGCCTGTATAAATCGATAATGAGTTACCATAATATATTATGATGGTGTAATTAAGAATAGAAATCGATATCATCATTGAAAATGTATACATAAGGCAACATAAAATTAATAATTGCTAGTTTGACGTCCTCGTCCTCATCATTTTGGAGCCTCATGAAAAATTTACTATTTGCTATCAAAAAAAAAACAAAAAAAAAAACACATTTTTCATGGAAAAATAAAAATAATTACGATCTGAAAGATTGTTGTCAATTTATAAGAAGATGTGGAAGCACAATGGCAGAATGCATTACAAAGATTAATAAAAGTATGATAGCAAATAGTAAATACCCTCACCAAAAATAATTTAATTCAGGAAGTGAAATAACAAATAATAAAACTGTAGGCCTATTCAATAATTATGTTGAGGCTAACTTGAGACTGCTCTGTGAACCGTCACTTCAGTTAAATGTGGCCTACGCGCAAATATTCTCAGAAGACGATTCTATGAGCGCATAGATCAAGTTAAATGCAGTTTATTTAGAATAAGCTATTTGTACTAATATGTACTGCGTTAATCTACGGTCCAGCTACAAACACAAACGTATGATTCTTTAAGAGTTTGCTGTAATAACGCAATGAGGATATCCTCAAGGCCGTGCTAATAGTGCCAAAGAAATGTTCGTCTCTTGAGGTGTCCCACCATTTTATGTAAAGGCCTAATTATATGGATTTATGTGCCTACTTTATTTATCAGAAAACAGTCTGATAAAGGGCACTGTTAATTATCTTATTGGAAATTCAATGATGTGATAAAAATGGAATTATTTATTACATTAAAAGACGATCATTATTAATCGAACCATTGAAATAGTCATGCCTTCTATGCATCTGCGAGTTTACGTAAGCATGAGACAAATACCACAGTGTAATCTAATTGCTTACAGTTTGTGTTTGATTTTGTTTTTAGGGTTTTTTTTAAATGTCAATCTTATTTGCTTTGTATTTGGTTTAATGTGGACGTTGTCTGAAATAAAAAAGAGATTGAATCATATGGCTAATGATGGTATTGACAGTTGTACTGCTTGAATCAAACCAGCAGTTAATGAGATACACATTATTGAATATTTAAATACTGGAGAGAAAAGGTGGAAAAAATGGTGGTTACGCCCGTTTTCCCCCAGTTTTTGAATATTCAGAAATCTGTATCTCACTAAACGTGGAAGGCGTCCACTCAGTGTAATTGTAATGATTGATGTATGATGTAATGATAATATTAATATTATTAATGATAATAATAATGACTACTATTATGTACTCTATTAGGTCTAGGCCCCCTACTATATTCTGATGATGATGATGATGATGATGATGATGATGATGATGATGATGATGATGATGATGATGATGATGTTGATGATGATGATGGTGATGATGATGATGATGATGATGTTGATGATGATGATGATGATGATGATGATAATGACGATGATGCTGATTATAACAATTTATGTTCCATGAATTTAAAGTATCAAATAAAAAGATATTCAATCAAATCACACATGTACACATTTTTTAAAATTAAGTCAGGATAGTGTCTGTTAGATAATCGGGCCTAATCCCCCTCCCAGTGCAAGTCTTAAAGTATAAATTCGATTATCATTAGTTATGTTGAGAATGTGTTGGGACCACAATATGGAAACAAGTAGGCCTAGACCTTAATGGTTAATTGTTGAGTTTCACCATAGAAATTGTTTTGATCTTATCAAATAGCCTTATAAATTTTGGAGTAAACAAGCATATAGTGATGATAATAATGACATAATAATAAACAATAACAATAAAAATAACAATAACATTAACCATATACCAATATTAAGGTCAAGGAATTATAACTCGCACAAAGATCACACAGACGTTAGTATAAAAAAAAATGTAAATAATAGGAATAAATTAAACCACATTACCAATAACGATGACGATAACAATAGCGGTACCGATATCATAATAAAAATAATAATAAATAAATAATGATGCAAACTCTAGAAAAGTATTTTTGTTTCTAATAGGGCCATGTTTATGCTTATTCTCAATATAATAAGATTACCGGTACCGTATGTTTTACAGCCAAGGTTGGCTACGTCATATAGGCTTACTAATGGTTATAATTCATAATTTATGATGGAAGTCACTAATATCTATTATTCATTTCATAATTGTGGCTAGTTAATATATTTTATCGATCGTTCTTCGTCGTCGGTGTCTTCGATACCAATGGCGCAGATCCGCAACAAGTGGGCGGTACTTAAAATGAAAGTTCTCTCACTTATAACCGTCTTGAGATTAATACGCCACATCTTCAAGAAATGATAATTTACTGTGTGATAGTCTATTGTAATATTTTAGAATAGGTCTACACAAGTTAAATTCATTAACTAAATATTGCGTTTTTATCATAATCAAGCAACATCATTCAGTTATTATAAAATTGTTTTTTAAATATGCCTATGTACCGCGGTCTAGATAGTTAGCTAGATGA